ATTCCACACATTCTCATCGTCTATAGAGATCATTTTGGCAGTATTATTCCATGATATGTCGCTAGTACTTAAAAACAGTATAAATGCAACCATACACTTTCTTCCAGTATTTGATTTTTGAATCAAGATGATGGTTTACTCTCAAGTCAGTGGTAGGCAAAAATACTAACATGCACTTTTCCAAAGCATTCATGTAGCCAAGTCTGAAAGTGTTGGTATCATGTTGTTTCCATAATGTAGTTATCAAGTGTTCGTAAGAATCAATGCATGCTTTCTCCTTAGTCAAAGTCCAAGTTCTCCTTGAATTTTTCACCCGATCTCTTGGCCTTTTACCCAAGATTTAGAAACTTTGGTTGCCGCTAATTTCCATCGCTACAACATACATGAAGTTAAAATAAACCCAACAATTAGTAAGGTTAAAGCAAATAAAATAAAACTAACAATGTCTAAATTAAAATAAGTCTACACCATATACAACTTTCAATAAATATTCATGTTATAACGTAAAACATAATATTAAAAGAATTTAAATGCTAGATTATTAGAATATTAGAATATACAAGAAGATCAACACGAAAAACTATATAAATGTTGCCATAAGAACCAAATTTTTGTTACAGTGTTTGTCAAAAGTTTCAAATTCATAAGAAATCATAGTTGTTAGAGTTATCTTTGCCAAGGAGCAAGACCGTTACTTGCCCTCCATTGATTAAACATTGTCAAAGCCATTTGGTATCTCTTATCAGTCCATTCATCAGTGGCTTCAACAGTATCAATTAAATTGTGCTCAAAATCAAGTGGTGAAGGATTATGTGTAGTAGCTGGATCGTACTCAACTTCTAAAGAATCCCCACTGACCATATCCCTACGAATGAGATTGTGCAAAAGCACCACTCTAGTGACAATCCGACACTGAATTTTGATAGGGTAAAATGAAGGATTTCTGAGTATTGCACAATAAAGTTTAAGAACTCTAAATGCTCTTTTAATGACATTCCGAGTAGATGCATGCTTCATGTTGAAGAACTCCTCAGGGCATGCATGTTGCCTCCCATCTCTCAAAGTTGTTAAGTGGTACCTTTGACCCCTATAAGGAGCAAAAAAAACTCTCCCAATTTGTGTAACCGCATCACAAAGGTAGTAACATCCTGAATCAAATTATAGACTTGTTTATGAACCAACACTGCTATAGGTTGACTTATCTCACAACTTGGCACTTTTAGCCCATTTCTTCTTGTGATGACGTCTCGAAGTACTCTACCATCTGCAATTGACCCTTCCCATCCAGACAAGATGAAAGTGAAGTACATGTCTGGTGTGCACACTCCTAGTACATTGGTGGCAATGTCACCCTTCCTACTCTTATATCTTGGATGATCTGTTTGGGGGACACTCACTCTAATATATGTACCCTCAAGAGCACCAAGATAATTCTACACATAATAAAGAAATATACATTTTCAAATATACAAAGATTTAGAGAAATATGTGTGTAAAGTAATGTGTGTATTTTACCTAAAAGCACTTCCACCTATTATCAGTGCATGCTTCGTGCTTCGATAATAGGTTTAGGTTGTTTTAAAAGTTGTCCTTGCATTCGGAGAACTCCCTTAAGCACACTATTGAAGAACTTGCTTACTGTTAACCTTGACCTCATATAACCGTGTTTGATAGTTCTATTTTTATGATGACCAGCAACTATATGAAGAAAGAATGATAGTTGTTCCTCAACAATAACATGTTTCAAGACATTTGCTCCGTGTTGACGCAACGATTGGCACAATAGATCATATGTATGCTTGTTCATTCTCAATTGTTCTCTCAATGTTAAGTCCCCAGTGTTAATTGTATCATTGAGATAGTCCACTCCCCATCCTCTCCTTGATAATCTTTCCTTTCTACTTATGGGTACCATAGGTGTTCTCTCATCATTTTCGTCTTCCTTCAACCTAATATAAGACGTGCACATATAGCGATAGGAGGATGCACAAGTGGAGCATAATTTGTTGTACAACCACGAATTTTTCAAGGTTTCTCATCTCTAAAAATATATGAAAACATATATGCGTCTATTACAATTAAATAAAAAAATTCATAAGCTAACAAAACCCAAAACCATGTAAAAACTTGAATCTATATTTTTTTCAACTAGAACAAAAAGTTAATGGTTTATAATGGTAGAATGTATAAATGGAAATAATTTGATCTAGAAGAGTGTTTATTAGATTTTTTTGGGAGATCCTGCAAATAGTGAACTATAAAAAATTATATGTTATCAAATAAGAAATGTTATTGATCTTTATTTGATGAGCAATATAGATGGTTTTTTATATATGATCTAAACCCTCTTGAAATAATAATTTATGATACATCAACAAATCAACAAAAAGTCAACCATAATGAAAAAAACTCTATATAAACCCTAGATCTAGAAGCTATACTAGTAAAAGAGATTTTCATACCATAATCGGAGGGAAGATGTAAAGACAACAAAAGCGGACTGAATCTCCACCGAATGAGAGCAACAAAAGTGAATCGGATGTGAGGAGAGCATCAATTTTCTCTTTATTTTTGTTGTTGATATAAATGTACACGCCCTGAAAAAATAGCCACGAACAATAATATTTCAGGGGAAAGAATGACGGCAGAAAAAATTGGTTGAAAGAAAAAAACAGAGATAGTGGGCTATTTTTCCAAAAATTTTCTAATCCCCACAAATGATTAATACATGGACTGTAAATGTGGGGTAGGGTGGGTTTAGTTTATAGGTTGAGTTTAGTTTAGTCTCATTCTTAGGTATTAAGTAGTCCCTCCTTAAAAATAGTCTAGGCCGAATTAAAAAAACAAACAAGGGCTAAAGAATTGGGTCCGGACTATTTTAAAATAATACCCTCACTATTTAAAAAACAAACAAGGCCATAGTGATAATTAACATTAGAAAATATAATTGAGCATTGACGTCTAACTGATCTACTTTCTATTTAAAATTGGTTGACCATGATTGTAAGCGTAACTCGTTGGACTAAGCTTAGGTTGCTTATGAATTGATTAGTGATTAATTAAGCTAACAGACAATCTTGTGAACCGCAACTTTCATCTATTCCTTTAAATTTTCATTTGAGACACTACAATTATATTGTTAAATATAAAGTCTAGAGATCTAACCTAACTAATCTGACAATGATTAAGCAAAGCTTATTACGGTACGCCTAGTGAGATAATGTGCTAAGTTTTAGAAAAGAAATATGTATCCATCATGTATATTGATGTGGTTAAAAATATGCATGATAGAGTAACAACTTGAATGAGAACAATGACTAAGTTTATTTTATTTCCTATTACCATAAGTTTACAGCAATAATCAACTTTGATCCCTTATTTTTTTGCATTACTTATAGACTAACTTACTAGACATATTAAATATGAATTCTAATGTGTATTTTATTTTCTGATGATATAGTATTAGTCGAGAGACATGTTGCATGGGTATTTCTATTTGGAGTCGTATTAGTGTCAACCCTATGTCATACCCATATCCGACACCAAACTTTCAGTGAACACTCTTTGGATATTTGCATGTGCTTTTTCGAATGTGTACTCAATCATATAATACATGTTTTCAGTTAAAACACACGTGATATACTTCTGGAACATATATTCTATATTTCACATGCAATTCTTGTAACTCCTTGGACATATGTTTGTTTCATTCAAACTCGTATCCAATTCGAAACTATGATTATAAAGTGTCTTTTCGATTCGAAGTTAAAAAAAGAGCAATTTTCTAATTTATAGATCTATATGTAATAGAAACATATAAATGATATAGGATTTTTATTTTCTAGCATGTAAAATGAAAAAATAATATTAATCTCCTATTAATTATTATTTTATATACATGCATGTGTTACTGTGTCCCCATACCCTACCTTCTTCAAATTTATCATGTATTGTACGCGCATCCGTAATCGTACCTATACCTGTATAACTTAGGTTGTGAGAGTAGGGAAGATATAGTTTCTAAGTAGAAAAGTGAAGAGAAGCTCTTGAATCTAGATTTAGAATTATTAAAACAAAAACATAATACATGAGATGTATTTTTTGTAAAACTTTGAAGATGAATGAGGGTATAGTGCATATTGATGGTTAAGAAGTACCTAAGAGTAATCACTTTTCTTTAGTTTGGGTTAATTATGTGCGTGCTTGTCTAGGTAACACAGACACCTGATTTTGGGTGCCGTGTCCGTGACTGACACGTGTCAAACACGGACTCCCCATGGACACACGTGGTTCAAAGAAAAACTTGATTTCCCCGTTACTTATACCCTAAACTAGTTTCTCTGATAATATCAAGCTCAAAACCAATTGTTTTTTAACCCAAAACTGTAACCCATTATTTAAATATTTGAAAAACACCCATCATATTTCTCGTGCAGTTAAAACTAATTTTTGTTGTTAGACTTTATTCTTGGTTTGATTTAACTAGATTCTTAATTGTTATAGATAATAAAAAGAAACATATAAAAATGTTATTTGTATTTCAATTGGTATTTCATTCAATATTTGATCATGTGTGTATAATTGTATGTGTGTGTATCCGTGTCCCTGTATCCTACATTTTACAAATTTACTGTGTCCGCATCCTCGTCCGTATCCTTGTCCATGTTCGTGTCTGTGCTACCTAGGTCCTCTTTGTTCAAATATCTTCATCATTGAAAGAACACTTCAAGCAAATATAGGGATGCATTTTTACTCAATGTTTATCATGCAAATCCTGATGCTTACAAAAACTTCAGAAAAATGATCTTGGTGTTTCTGAACGTCTCGATGATCTTGTTTTCGTGTTCGCACAAGATTATCTATTATTCCTATCCTTGATTTGCAATGTTTAATCTATCCGAAGGATTTGTTCCATTGAAGTTTATACATTGATTTTTTTTTTCCTGTTAACCAGGAGATTAAACAGACGCTGATGTGTTGTTGGAAATGGTAAACAACAGGTGGAACTTTTGCCCTATATTCTCTGCTTTGCAGGCATGTAAATATTAGCATTCTTCCGTCAAGAAACTCTGGGTTGAAAAAACATTCACATGCTAACCATTCTCTGAGCACTGAGAAACCAAGTAGACTGGGGAAGTTCATTGAGCAAAGCATCACTGCTCGGAGGTTACTCCTCTTTATTGCGATGCTAGGGATGTGCATGCTCATTGGTGATGGCATTCTCACTCCCGCAATTTCAGGTTTCCAGTTCTTTACTCTTTAACCTTTTAAGGGTTAATTGCGGATAGACCCCTATAGAATTGCTGTTTTAAGTTTCCTACACGTCCAGTTTTATTGCTGAAGATAGACCACCTAAGTAAATTATTTATTTATTTATTTATTTTTATTTTGGGACTCTGAGTCTATATGCAACAATGAAACTAGAGGGGTAATAAGTTCAAAACAGCGATACTACGGGGGTATATTCACAATCAACCCTTAATCTCTGAATGACTTGTATATCTTGTTATTATTTTATTCTTATATACTTCATGTATATCTAGTGTTATCAGCAATGGATGGACTGAGAGGACCATTCCCGTCAGTTGGTAAATGTAAGTGTCTATCATACTCCATACTCTGTCTTAAAATATAAACTTCTTTAATTATAATTATATAATTGCCTCAGCTGTAGTCGAAGCTCTATCAGCTGCTGTTCTGATTTCTTTGTTCCTGCTTCAAAAGTTTGGTACTTCACGTGTGAGCTTTCTCTTTTCACCGATCATGGTTTCTTGGACTCTCGCAACTCCAATGATAGGAGTGTATAGTTTCTTGCAGTACTATCCAGGAATATTTAGGGCCTTGTCGCCGTATTATATTATCAAGTTCTTTTTGAGGAATGGACGGGAAGGCTGGAAGCTTCTTGGTGGAACAGTTCTATGCATTACAGGTATAATCTTTGAAACTTTTACCACATGATAAGCCTTTTTCACCCTTTTTTCGTTTTCTAGGAATAACAGTGGTTATAAGCCCTCTTCATTTCATTAATAAGAACGTAATGAAACATCTCTAGCTACAAAAACAGAATGTTCTAGTTCTTGCAGAAGTTACAGAAAATTGTTTATGGGGTTAATTGTAGATAGACCCCTTGTACTATCACCAAATTGTGGATGGACAGCTT